CGACCATCCAACCAGTAGCTATGACATGCAATGAACACCAGGGGGCAGATGCTCAATGCAGGAGCTGCCGAACTGTGGTGACTTCGGAGCCATGGTTCTCAGGTGATGCACCCAGGAACCAGAGAGGCGGGAACATGATTCAGGGTGCGTTACCCGGGAACTGCCTTCTTGCAATCCAGTTCCCCTTGGGGGATGTCGGAGAGCTGGTTTTGGGTCTGATCCCTGCAGGCTAGGCTGAGGGACTCCACCGGCCTGAGGAACCACACTCACTCCACAGACGCCCTTGGAAGGGACTGCTGGAGGTTGGCTCCAGGGCTTGTCCCGCCCCTCTCGCCCAGTCCCGCCCCAGTGGCTACCTTCTAGTTAATTTCCTTTCAATCTGCACGAATCTGTGCACCTGGGCACTAGTTATTAATAAGGAACTACAACATTTGCTAATGTCTGATTACTATAATCATGTTGTATTCATTTCCCTTATGCACCTTACTCACAGGCGCACCATTTCTCTCCACTAATACCAGCAGCGAATATTTTAGCAGCCAATTGCCACATCATTAGTCTTGGACTGACTTGTTTGGTGTGCACAACAGGAAATATTTCACTTTAAGAAAACAAGAAAAATAGGTTTATTTGTGTTACGCTTATTAATTTGTGCAGTTATTCAGTGTCTGGTAAGTTAATGTTCAAGGAAAAATATCAATTTTTATTAAAATGTATTATTTTATGTTGATTACTCATTTATTTCAGCCCTTTGTATTCAGCATGTCTCTATTGAAATAAACCTACATTTCTATGAAAATTGCAGCTTTTGTTTTTTGCAGCCCACATAAACTTAAACCTTGTTTATTTGGCCTGTGTTAGCCTTTGAGTTTGACATGCTTGTTCTCGTTCATAGTTTGACGTGCAACCACTGAACCACACCAGCTGGGCAGGAGCCACTTTCTTAAGAACAAGGAGATGTTTCTCAGAAGTTCCTGAGCAAATATTCCCTCACAATACTGGGCGGAACTTGGTCAAGCGCCCACTCAGAAACCAACCACAGCCCGAGGAAGGGCTCAGACCGTTCATGATTCACCCCTGGAAATGGGCTTGGAAATGCACTCACCTGAGTCACACAAGCGTATGGAGAGGGTGGTCAGGAGGGAAGTGGGGAGGCAGGGGAGATGGACTCCAACCAATCAGAGCTCTGCTGGAGGGAGACAGGGGTGGTCAGGATAGAGAGGTGACCAGTGACAGCATCTGCTACACCCGCGAGGCTGCCTCTCCCACCAGGACTTGTCCCCTGCGCCAGGTGCTTCTTCCTGTCCCAGATGATGAGAAGCTAGGTTCTGAGACAGCAGGGAGGACACAGGGACTGGCAGGACCTTCGCACCTTCGAGCAATGTGAATGCTCACAGCGGTCCTTATAGGAATTAGGCTGACTTCAGGGAAAACTGGCTGAGGACTCTCGGGTCCTTAATCCAGAGTCAGTGATGTGGTGCTAAGGTGGGAATTTCAGGCCGGGAATGCCGAGAGGGCATTTTAATGTATTTCTTACATCACTCCCGGACTGTCTCTATAAGCCTACCCCCAGGGTCTACAATGCAGACAGGAAGTTGAAATGAGAAACATGAAGGAACATCAGAATTTTTTTTTTTTTTTTTACCTAGCCATGTACTATGATAGAATTTTAGCCTTGCTAAAATAAAAATCCGTTTTTGTATGGCTGGGGCACAAGCTTTTTGCTTTTCCCTTTCTTCTTCTGTCTTTTCTTATCTGTTTTTAATTCTTAAGGAGAATAAACATATTTTCATTTAAAATTTATTTTATAACCATAAGTTTGTATGTTCTTTTATAATAAAAAATAATAAAGAAAACCTTTATTTTGAAAAAAAGAAGTATTTCATACTTGTCATTCAAAACAGCACAGGAACTCCCCACCTTAAGTAAGAAGTCTGATGATTCCTTGGTAATATTTGAAAATAAACCAACTTTATTTGAATCAATCAATACCAATCGAGACTGGAAAACAAATTTATAACCGGTTCATATGAGGAAAACATTCAGCAATATCTTCATTAAAAGGCATTTTACATTCATTAAGGCTGGAAAGCAAGTCCTGTTATTTTATCACCACAGTTAAAGGTCTTGAGAAAATCAAGTGTCTTTATTACATGAGATGTTTGTTCTTTCCTAAAATCTAGGCATCTTCTGCTAAATTAGTTAACTCTCCAGCTTATCAAATGGGACAACCAGGTGGTCAGGAAAGTAAGACAAATTCAAACATCAGCTGGGCATTTTATGTTTTAAATATATGTATAGTCAAGATTGTGAAATCTCAGGCTACATAAAATATACCGTAGATAACTGGTTCCTTAAAACTATGTTTTGCCATAAAACAGATGGCTTTTATAGACACACAGATTAGCCCAAACCCTCTCGCGAGGCCATCTTTTATTTTATGTTTGGTCGGGGAGGGAAGGTTTGGATCTATTTCCTTCAGTGATATTAAATAAAATGGTGCACACCTGAATCATACCCAATTATGAAATGAAAGGGTACTGAAACTAAGCTGGGAGGAGAATATTGACAAAGGGAGAGGAACATGCCTCCCTGAGGCGACACCTGCTGTTTGGTTTGAGGGCTGAAGAGCGATGAACAGAAGACAATAGGCCTTGTGTGCAGAAGGGGCCCAAAGCCAGTGCTGTGACCCCTCAGTGTTCCCGACATCGGAACCAGGGTGCTTTGCGGGCACATATCTCTGTCTAATGCTTAAGATTCTTTTTCATGTCAGACACAAAACTAAGCCAGTGATCCCTTGGGAATAGTGGACTGAAGTTTGACTATGAGTTCATGCTTCACCTTTCCAAAGTCAGAGACTCTGTCCTTTTAATCCACTCTGCTCCAAGATGGCTCCAGGCCAGTAGGAACGGGGCTGAGACTCACAGCCCCTCCCGGCTACCTGCTGCTTCTGGGCCAATTAAGTTTAGGTTCAGACTCCCACTGGTTTCTCAGGATGAGAAACTCCTGTAGATAGACCTGCACCTTCCTGACTCCGCCTCCCTTTTACTTTTATTTTTCCAGACTTTCCTGGGACTCTTGGATCTTCAGGGTCTTTTCCAGGTGTGATCACTTTGTGACAACTCTATGATGTTTTGTATTGTCTGTTGGCAAAGTGGCCGATGGGCACTGGTGTGGTGAAGAGCTTCTGTTGCTTCATTTGACAAATGCTAGAAAATATGGTTTTTCTAATGAAAATTAAAGATCCTCACTGCCCCCCCCCCACAGCAGGAGAAGTGGACACAAAGGACAGCACTGTGTCCTGGAAAGCTGAGCCTAGTCTGAGATCCTGTGGCCAAAGGAACCGAAGGAGTGTTTTTCACTTTTCTAGGCATTAGTTTCGTGCCAGGTAGCTGTATCCCTCGTTTCAAACAAGATCCTCCTACTTGTGCCTGTGATTCTGAATTGTTGGGCAATTATTTGATTGCCTTTGTCAAGAGATGAAGGCCAGTGATAGAAGGAACTATGCTCTGGATCAGTCAAGATTTTACTTATCCAGCTCACCTTTCAGAGTTATTAAAATCTTACCCAACATCTTCACTCTGGGCCAACCTGAGAGGTAGGCAGTGCTGAGTAAGTGGGTAAATTCAACACAGTCATTGAGTTTGACTGTTTCTGCCTCTGCCCCTCACACACACACACACACACACACACACACACACACACACACAAAAAAAAGTTATGTGAAAGTCGCAGGAGATAAATTAAAAAACAAACAAATAGGATTTCAACCCTTTTTGGGGCCACTGAAATGCTTTCTGCGGGAGCAATGTTCGTTCAGGACCCATGACAAGGGTTGCCTCCTATCTTAAAACTCTGGAGTGTAGGACCATACTGCAAACCTTCAAGACTCCGTGAGTTCGTCCTGGGGACACCTAAGAGCCTACCACACTTGCTGGGAGATGATTTGCTGTGTATATGACAAGGTGATGGCCTCGCCTCAGAAGGCTGAAGAAAAATCTCTTTTTAAAAAAAAATAATCAGAAGGTAATACTATTATTATTATTATTTTAAAATACTCTGATAAATCTGGCCATAAGACCTTCAATCTCTAAGTCAATAGTTGCATTATATAATAATCTAATGTTGAAATAAAAAGATATTCCTGAATTAAGTCTCTTTCCATCTCTAACTCCTCCCCCTCTTTTAAATGGTTATAATTAATCATAATGGCCCCCACCCCGTGCCTATTAGTGTTATTTATGTAAAATTGAGTCAGCCACAGAAGGAACATCTAGAAACAATAATATTGATTTGGTTTGGCTTGTTTGTTTTTAAAAACTGCTTTTACAGACTCGCCAGTTGTTGGAATTCTGAGTATCCAGTCAGGGTTGTTAGTGGGTGCCAACACCTCCGGGGGAGCTGGCCCGCCTGGGCTCCCTGTTTTCTCTGTTCCCCGAATATGCTTCTAGAACAGCGCCACGGAGGGGCTCAGGAAAGCAGGCTGCCTTAGGGTCGTGGCCTGAGCTGTGAAGGTGGGGAAGGATTTCACACTAATGAAAAGGCCTCCTGGGATCATTCAAGCTTTCATCCCCCAGAAGGCCAGTCGCGGGCTTTCCCTTATGGCAAAAGGACTATTTCCTCACCATGTCTCCTTTTTAAACACCTTGGAGCGGGGAGAGACAAGTTTCCAGGGAATTGTGGAAAGGACCCTTTAGAGGTGGAAATGAATCAACTCATTCTGCTTTTTCCAAACTCTCAGGCTTATAAAACGTCCTACTGAGCAATTTCCTCTTCCTCAGGGGGCTGAAGGAGACCCCGTTTCCTCCCCTCTGCTCTGATCAAGGGGTCCCCTTTTTCTCCTGAGATCCCTGGAGATAGCTAGTTCCGGGGGTTGCTTGGGCTGGAATTTGTTGGTGTTTGTATGGCGAGGACCCATGCTGTCCTGCCCTCCCTGAGCAATGAGCCAAGTCCTGGGGCTTTCCGGCATTTGGGAACCTCACTCTCCACCGGCAGGCAACACAGAAGGGAGGATTGTTGAAGGTGAGGGTCTGTGGCGGTGGATTTCCTCACACAGGCGTTCCTGGGAGAGGGAGCTGATGATTAGTTCATTTCTCTTAGTTTCCTCTGCACTGGTCACCATACTCAAGCAGGGTAAGATTTTAAGGAGGCGAAACTCCAGAAGAAGGACTTAGGAGAGCAATATTATCTAAAAAATAGTTTCCTTTTGTTCATCGGGTCGTTGAGTCAGGTGGTAGGAACATTAACCCACATGGGCACACCTGTTTTTTTCAAGCTCAAACCGCATGGTTTCCCAGTCAGAAAAGCTCAAGGACTTTCTTCCTAAGGTTCCATGACCATGCCACCTCCTCATTGTGACTCTCTCCCAGGGGAGGCTGCGGCTGGGTCAGCCTGGAGTGGCTGCCTGCGAGCCCCCAGGTAGCAGACCCGTATCCAGGAACAACCTGAAGAGCCTGCAAAGTCATTTTTGGCCAATACTTGGGTTCTTGCTATCAGGTTGCTAGTTACATGACAACATCAGTTCAAGACTTAGCTTATGAGAGAGAAGACCTGTCTTCAAAATTTCCAGGGAACATTGAGCATCATAAAGGATTTTTTAAATCTTCACTCATCCCTCCACCTCCCACGCTCATCTACTTTCTCACAGACGAATATTCCCTCGAAGATAAACAGAGTCAAACCCAGGCATGTAACCTGCAAGGAAGCAACTACCCCTAAGCAAGCAACCCCGTGGCTGGTAGACCCCCGAGGGCCTTTTGGCATCAACACTGCTCCCCTCCCCGCCCCATCCCCGTGCCCCCAGTTTGGAATTGATGCCAATTTCCTTTCCTGGCAAGGCCTGAACAGCATAAACACGGAGGTCGGTGTCAGCCAGGCACGATGGCATTGTGACCGTCAGAGCACTGCAGCGAACCGAGACTGGGCCTGAAGTGGTTTTCCAGTCTGGCCTTCGGTGTCCAGGAATGTCAGGAAGTAGTAAGTGATGCCAGGTGTGTCTTCCAGATGTCAAAATCCACAGCCTGCTCGGTCCCTCTCCATTCACTCTCTCCGACCCCCTAAGAGCAGGGGATCTTTATGTAATAAGAACTAAGATGGTATTTGTCCTTGGCCTTGGAGTTACCGACAAAGAGGAGGAAGGAAGAGAACAGGGCGTTGCATGTTTCTAATGCATCTGAGGAGATATTTTGATATTGGCAGAAGGGGCCAGTGACAATCCCGTATGTGGGTTCTGCAACACTGACCCCAAATACGCTGAACCCAGACGGAACCCAAAGGCTGAGAGCTTGACTATGTCTAGCATTTCTGCTTGCGGAGTCCTGTGTGATCAGATGGGTTGGCGCAGACCAGGCTGGAGTTCGAATGATGCCAGCAAGGCGTGGCCTGACCATTAAAGATGTGTCCCGAGGCAAAGTGGAGGGGGGTCTGTGAAGAGGAGTCCTTTGGGAGAAGCCGAGTTCTGCAGCAGTGACGGGGCGAGGTGGCCGAGGTGGCCGTGCTCAGGATCGGCTGAGGCGCTTGGCGACGTCGGCGTAGGCCAGCTCGATCTCTGAGTCAGCGGCACAGGTGTTGGTGAACTCGTCCCGGGCGTAGGCATTCTTGAGGTACCGCCACAGGCCTGTCATCTCTGCTGGGAAGTCATAGTTGCGGTATTTCTTGGCCACAATCTACAACAGAGATGGTGTGAGAGCAGGAAGCAAGTCATTGAGGAGGCGTTAGGGTGCGACCCAGGATGTGCGCACAGCAACCCCCCTCACCCCCCCAATGTATCACACCGGACCAGCAGCAAAGTGTGTGTGATGCAAGGGGCCAGTGCTGCCTCTGTATTTGATTTTGGTTTGCATTATTTTATTTTATATTTCTCAAGTTAATATAATTTTCCCTTTGGCCTAGTGAATCTGCTTCTAGGGATTTTCCTTAGGAAATAATCATGGATGTACACAAAGATTTAGCTACACATATGTGATTACAGGACTGTTTGAAATGGCAAAAAAAAAATGGTACACAACACAAATGTCCAGCAACATATGACTGGATGAACACATTATCATACATAAAGGCAATGGTGTCCCAGGCAGCCAGTAACAATGATGCTGCAGCGGGAATTCCAGTGACCTGGAGAACTCTTCCAGGTAGATCATTAAGTTTAAAGTTCAAGATATTTGGAGAAATATGTATGATGACTAGAAGTGTATGTGCCAATGTATTACCAGTGGTCACGTTTCATTGACAGAATTATAATCAAATTGTTTTCTATGTTTCCATATCCATTTTATTTTACATAAGCATCCTTATTTATAGAAGGAAGTCTTATATAATAAAAGCCTAATATGCTGAGTGTCCAGTCATCCAGTTGTCTGTTCAACCAATCAAAGTGTAATATGTTAATGATATGCTAAGGCCACTCAACCACTCGCTATGATGTGCACTGACCCCCAGGGGGCAGACAGTCAACTGGTCGACCAGTCGCTATGACGTGCACTGACCACCAGGGGGCAGACACTCCGACCGGCAGCTTATCTTGCTGCTGGGGTTCAGCCAATCGGGACTGAGCGAGGAGCGGGCCTAAGCTGTCAGTCATACATCCCCTGAGGGCTCCTGGACTGCGAGAGTGCTGAGGGACCTCCCCTCCCTCGAGTGCACAAATTTTGTGCACCAGGCCTCCAGTAAAAACATAAAAAGTAAGTTATATATTGAATGTATATCTAGGATCCAGGTATGATATGGGAGTGAACAAAGTGATTTCTGTTCTCTCTCTACTTTGCCACACTGGGGGCCAGGGACTTGGGCATTTGGGAAAGTGGTGTTTGTGTTGAGAGTTGCATAGTGGTTAAAAGCATGGGCTCTGGATCCCAACTGACTGAATCTGCAATCCTGACTCCACTACTTAACAGCTGTGTGACCTTGGACTAGTTACTTAACCTCTCTGAGCCCCACTTTCTTTATTTCTAAAATAGAGGTAGTAATAGGACTGGTCTTACATAGGGCTGAGTGGCAAAGTGGAGAAAACTGTAGAGACACATAAATTTAGTTAACACACATAAATGCTTGGAGGGGTGGCTGACTCGGACTCAGTGTTCAAGAAACATGACATACTATTATAATTCATTGAGTCCAACATTTTACCCATATGCATGCATTCCTTCATAGGTAGGGGCAAGGTCGTCTCTTTTCTCAGGTCTCACAAGCCAGGAGGCACTTCACAGACATGTGGACTGTGCGGTCAACTGGGCCTCATGCTCTTGGTTTAATGCCGTGTTGGCAATGTCTGGAAGTTCTGAATACTTTATGTTCACTGGCATGAGGGCCTGCACATTAGCTGGTCCTTCCTCTAGCCCCACAGGGGCTGAGGTGGGGATAGCACAGGGTCACCTCTCTCTCTCTCCTAAAGCACCTCTCTGTCCCATATGCATGCATTCCTTCATAGGTAGGGGCAAGGTGGTCTCTTTTCTCAGGTCTCACAAGCCAGGGGCTTCACAGACATATGGCCTGTGCGGTCATATGGGCCTCATGCTCTTGGTTTAACGCCGTGTTGGCAATGTCTGGAAGTTCTGAATACTTTATGTTCACTGGGCATGAGGGCCTGCACATTAACTGGTCCTTCCTCTAGCCCCACAGGGGCTGGGGTGGGGATAGCACAGGTGACCTCTCTCTCGTAAAGCACCTCTCTGACTCCTTCCCTTGCTTTCTTCTTAGACAAGGGCCAGTGGTCAGGATCTTCCCACTCAGAGAACCCCCAGATCAGCTACCCTGGGCTTTCACCCTCATTTTGCTGCCAGTGATGTGCAGGGTTCCCCGGGAAAGCTGTGCTGAGTGGCGAACAATGATGACGGCCAGTGGTCAGGATCTTCCCACTCAGAGAACCCCCAAATCAGCCACCCTGGGCTTTCACCCTCATTTTGGTGCCAGTGATGTGCAGGGTTCCCCAGAAAGCTGTGCTGAGTGGCGAACAATGACGATCCATTGCATGAAAGGCTCAGCCTCATAGATACCATATTTCCAAGGAGTCATTTCCCCTCCATTCTCCTACATTGGTTTTGTTCCATTACAACACTGAGATCTGTTCTACTCTGAATCACAGTCACTGTTTTAGTGTCTCTCTCTCTCACACTTCCCTAGGTGTGAGCAGGACAGGAACCACAACTTCTTCATTTCTGTGCCCCTCTACAATCTCAACAATGCTCTTGGTAAGAGTAACCACAATAACAAACATTTATTTCCCAGGTGCTCTGCTCCAGACACTGCTGTGAGCATTCTGCAAGCTACTTAAATCTCTAAATAAGTATAAGGCAGAGTGTATTATGTCCCATTCTGCAGATGAGAAAAGTAAAAGGTTAAGTAAGCAGGGATTCCATAAACAGTTATATTTCATCTTTACCATCCCCAGCTATCCCAACATCAAAGTGTGGTTCGTGTCATATGTTATCAAATCACTTAATTTTTAAAGACTGAAGATCCTTAGCAATGAGCAAACTGAAGCCACCAGAGATTTTGGTGGCTTACACAATGTGACACAGGAAAATAATTAATTCAACCAATATTGCAGAGTAATCACTAAGATTTATTATAGTCCCTGCTTTCTAATCTACAGTTCTCTCCACTTTGCCACTCAGCCCTGTGTAAATGATAAAGGAATAGCTCTCCTTGGTTATGCCACTCTTGTTGCTTTTCTACAAACCCACCCTTGTGTTTGCTTCTTTGTGATGCTGGGGCTAAGACTGCTCAAATCACACCTCTGCTTTGCCTGCGACTCCCTGTTAGGCTCTACCAATCGGGGGCGCTAGAGATAAAGCCTGTGATGGTGGAGGAGGGCAGAAGGAGGTGCCCCTTCCTATTGGCTTCCTGTTCATGCCAGTCTTGTTTGCTCCTGTAACAGCAGCTGCATCCAGTTTGCTGTTTTGCCAGCACACGGAACCTGTGTCATCACACCAGCTCAGAAAGGCCAGCACCCAACAGTGACCCCGCTGCAGAGGTTCGGTCCCAGTCTCACCAGCCATTCTCTGAACTTGGCCCCCCAGCATCAGCTAAGCAGCGCCCCACCTCAGAGGTCCAAGGCCCCTCATCAAAGTCTCTAGGTTTTAATAATTCCAACCTCTTCCATTTGTGCCTCCTGCCCTGGGGGTAGTAGCTGCCTCCCAAAGGTAGAACTTCCTTGTTCGTTTTGTCTTCCTAGTTCTTCAGTACTTACTACCTTCTTACATTAAAATCTCTCAGTTAAAATGACCGGTTTGGTGTAGTTACCGAAGAAGGCACCCCCGCCCTGCTCTGTCCAGCTCGGGTGTGGCTAATAAGGAAAGGCAGTGGAATCAGAGCCTTCAGCACCACACCCACCAAGAGGGAACGCTGGGGCCAGCGCCCACCACCAGTTCTCTTTGGTCTCTGCTCCCTGCAAGCGAAGGGCCCTGGGTTTGCCCACAAGCCTTTGGAAGAGGCTGTCTTGGCTAAGGAGCAAATCCATGCAGGAATGGTGGGTTACTAGCTGATGGATAGAGCGGCCTCAGGCCTCTCCATGCTGGAATTTACCCTCAAGCTTTTAAAGGATATACTATGAGCTTGAAAACAGAAGAAATGCAATGTATGAAAATATATTCCTGTTTGCTGCAAGAGCTGGACAGATCACAGCCCCCGGCGAGGGCCCAGCAGAGGCTATGAAAGGCACACCATGTCCTGCCTGCCTGAATCGTGTGCCCGCCTTCGTCACAAAACGGGCTGTTTCCTTGGGTGTTGGCTTCACTTGAGGAGATGGGACCTAGAAGGGAGCCAGACAATGAGAGTTCAAACCAGGCTCTCAGCGAGCACCTGGGCCAGAGCCACTTGGCTTCCATGGATGAAGATGAACCTGGAAGAGAGCCAGGAGGGAGGGAGGGGGAAAGGGAGGTAAGAGGGGGAAGAGAGAGAGAGAGAGAGAGAGAGAGAGAGAGAGAGGAGCGCACATAAGAGTGAGAGGGTGAGATTCGCACAGGAAGCTCTGACGTTTGCAGGGACTTCTAGGCTCATGTTCTGAATTTGCTCTTTCATATGAAAACAGTTAGCTCCCACAGCCCAGATTAAGTTTTGGCATCAGAAGCCAAGCTGGAGGCCTGACTTGGCTCCCCTTCGCTCTTTCTACACTTCAGAGGTTTGCCAGGTCTCTGGGATCTGATAAGCTGGATCAGCAGAAATCCGAGGAGACGGGAGGTGAGGCCCAGCCTTTGTCCCTCGCAGGCCATCCTCCTCTGATCCCAGCCTCTCCCAGTGAGCCACTCACTGAACTTCTTCCAAGGACAGGGGCATAACAGTCTTTCAGGGCTGGGAGGAACCGAAGAAATTATAGGATAAAGCACAGGGCCTGGGAGAGCCGTTTGTTTACCTTATTCAGCAAGCGATTCTCGAGCGGGTAGTCAGCACATGTCTGAGTGAGAGAGAAGGAAGGAGGGAAGAGAGAGAAGAAGAAGAAGAGAGGAGGAATGGAATCCATATCTCTTCTTTTAGGCAAGAGAAAAATGACTTCCAAAAAGAGTAAATGACCTGCCCCAGCTCATGCTGCCAGTTGGTAGCAGATATAAGACCAGAACTTGGGCCTCCTGACTTCTAGAATGGAGGCCTTTCCATTGCATCACTATGTCACAGTATGACTGAACTGGAGTCAGATCACCCCAAATGGCGTCACTTGTTCCTCAGGAAAAGAGAATAAAGGATGTTTTGGGGGTGGAGTGGGGCATGTGCTACTTAATAACTTCAAAGAGATGTTGCTTGGCTGGACTCACCATTGACCATTGGCTTGGCCCTGAACCCAAAGTGTCTTCCTATGAATAGGTTGTATCTGCCCAGCCCATCAGCACTGCTATGCATGATTCCCTCCCAGGCTCAGCTCAGGCCGAGCCCATGGGAACACCAGTACACACCCAGCTGAGTGATTTCAACTGAAGCAGGCTGGAGAGAAGCCTGCATATCTAGCCCAGGACCTCAGCTGGAAAAGACAGGCAGATATCCAGCTGATCAACGACTGAAGCTGATTCTTCTCAGTGAGAGGCAGACAGACACTGAGTATCATAAGGACACAACTAGATGATAAAACAATTGATCAATGAGTATTTCTTAAAGGGCCGCCACTATATGCCCATCATCATGCTTAGAGAAGGCCCTATGTCACAGAGCTTGTTGTCTGAGAAAATAAGACATAAACATGTGTACAAATAGAGAAGAGTCTAATTCGACCCCATTGCATTTTTCTCCCGGCTGACAGGGTCAAAAAAGGGTGTGAGAAGTGTTAGTTTAGAGAAGTTTGGGGGACACACTGCTGTCTTCAAATGAGATGAAAAGAACAGGCCTGTCCCTTGTTGTTCCAGAGAATAACGGATGGCAGGGGCCCACTTGGAAGGCTGTTTTAATCATCTGAGTCGTCCAAAGTGGTGGGGCTAGCTCGTGAGGCAGAGGGCTCTTCATCATCAGAAGGGTGAGGCCACAGATGCACAGGAGCTTGTCACAGCTGTTACGGATGCACAGACAGTGGCCCAGTTTGGGAAGGGACATTGTATGGGATAACCTCAGAATTCCCTTCTTTCCACCTCACAGATCCTAAGATTCTTTTAGGAAAGGATTACACTGCCTGTCAAAGGTGGTCAGAAAGTAAAATAGTAAAACAATGATGTCCCTTCTTGCAACCTCCATCCCTTCAACTGATCGAGGAGGAAGAGGTCACCTGCCGCCCTAAGGGGTTGCTAGCGGGAATGAGAAGGTGGGTCTGTGCACAGAGAAAACATACACATGCGAGCACATTTAATACAGATGTGGGGTGTAGCCAGTGGAAACCTGTGAGGAAGAGGCAAGGAAGAGGCCTTTGGAGTGACACGACTTTGTATAACTATATATGATAACGCAATAGCAGCTATTATATTTCGAGTCCTTACAATAACATGCACTTCATGCATGTTATTCTCCCAACAACCCTAGAAATAAGCAATCTATGGGTGAAAACTGAACTATACAAGGAGGCTATATAGCCAGCACGCAGTGGAGACTGGCTTGGGGTCCCTATTCATGTGACTTCTCACCCAGCAGGCGGCACTGCCCTTGACTTAACCACACAGGTAACCCCAGTCTAAGATGGAGTTGTATCTGGCCAGCACTTGTGGGGAGAGGTCTCTTACCTTGACCACGTGGAGTTTGGGCAACAGATTGCAGTCGGCCAGGGTCAGCTCATCCCCATCCAGGAACTTGCGCCGGGACCCCTTGTCATCGTCCCCACAAGTGTTGGCGTCGATCTCCTCTGGCAGAGGGGTGCTCAGGTAGTCATCCAGTTTCTTCAGTGCCTTGTTCAGGCCTCTCTCAAGGGCTGGCGTGGGACAGAGAAAGAAGTTCTTTAGTCATCCTTGCCACTGGTTACAGCCACAGTCTTCACAGTAAAGTGGCTTTATCCCGAATCCGGTTCCCCTCATCACACTGCCAGCTCCCTGAACGATACAAATACCTGGCAGCCATTAGCACGATGCAGAAGAGTATCAAGTGGCCTAAAAAAGGAGACCTTGACAAACAGTAGACACTAGCTAATCCTTTTAAAAAATATAGACAGATAGGTGATAGAGAGATAGATAGATAGATATGCAATCATTGGCATATAGATCAGAGCTTAGTGCTTATCTTCAGAAGATGTAACAGTAGTCAACTTTCATTATCCTTTCTTGTGTATGTATATTTTCCCAATATTCCACAATTAACCCACATATCTTTATATAAAGAAAGGTCTGTTAAATAACTAATAACTGTATAGCAGCCCGAGGACAGAGATATGCACCAGATTTTGTGGGAGCATTGACCATGGCTAACCCAACCTGAGAGGGGAGGGAACAGGCTTCCTGGAGGACAAGACATAGGAAAGTGGCGGCCCCTGCTTGGCACTGCCCCCAGAGAACCGGTGGGTGTCAGGGAGGCCTGCTTGAGTTGCCCTAAAAATCAGCGCTGTCCACAAGGGAAGGGCCAGGGCCCCAGGCGGCGGGCTCCACTGGGAACGTGCAATCACAGCCGAATGGAAACCTGCCAAGGCCACAGCTCTGAGGATGCACATTCATAGGAAGAGAAGGTGGCAGAAGACTTTGACAGTCTTGCCCCAATAATTATCTCCCCACTCATTCGTTTAGTCACAAGAGCAGAACAAAATACTCAATAGAATAACTCCAGGAACTCACTCCCACTGAGTCGTTCCACCCAGAATCACACAGACCACTCCATCATGGAGCGCTGACACGGCAACTGCCCACCTGAGCCCAGAGCAGGGAGCTGGAGGAGGTGGCTGGCCGCGTCACTCATTGGCCACTGCATCTGTTTCATCAGCTTCAGCCCCCACCAGCCGTATTTCCCAGACTCTGGTTTACAGCGTGATGCTGAGATCAGAGGAATCAGTCCCGATGTTAACTCTAGTGGATAAATGGGAGGTGCTGTCCCTGGAGGAAGATCCTGGGGACTGTCTCTCCTTCAGAGTTTCCCAAATGTGCCTCCTGTTAGCCACTCCTCACATAACCCGAGTCCGTCTTTTCATAGAAGGCCTTTTGTTTGAGACAATGAGATGACACCAGCCCAAGACAAATCAATCGAATGCTTGCTGGAATGTGTAAAAACAGACTGGAGGTTGGACATGGTTTCTCAATACTTCCTTCTCCCTGGTGTGGCATTTGAATTTGAACTTCATCATCTGCTTTGTGTTTCCAGTTTGGGAGAACGGAGCAAGCAGGGCTCGGGGAAATGCTTGTATTCCCCTTAGTAACCGTCTAGACTGGGATGGGATTGCAAGCCTATTCAAGGGCAATAGCCGAGGGTTGGTACCCAACAACACTTACTATGCTCCCTCCCCGCCCTCCAAGGACTTGTGATTTATGCTGGGTTTGTTTGCATCCTTAAATCCTCTACCCTTTTTACTTTGGGAGATTATGATAAAATCTTAATTAAAATGAAGGAAGAAAAAAATCTAATAGAGTGCCTGTTGAAATTTGACCAACTGATTATCATCCGAGGCGAAGAGACATATGAAGGGAAGTGAGACGTTGCAGGTTCTGATTCCAAATGCCCTGAGCAGGCCTCTGCTCAAATCTGTGCCCAAGTCACCCGGCCTGGGAACTATCATGTCATTTGGTGAAAGAGGCCCAGCCCAGGATAGCAACGGGAGCTCCTTGGGCGGCTTGGTCTGGGTAGTTACAGAATAGTCATGGGGATGTAAAGTATAACACAGGGAATACAGTCAACATTGTAATAACTAGGCATAGTGTCAGATGGAATTAGTTTTACCGAGGTGGGGGGGGGGCATCACTTTGTATGTTATATAAATGTCTAATTGCTGGAATGTACACATGAAGCTAATATAGTATTGTAGTTAACTGTGTTTGAAAATTAAAAACTATTTTTAATAATTTAAACTGTCTCTCCAGTGATCTCTTGAGATGGAAAGGTAAAATTTGGCAATGGGCTTGGTTGTTGCCTTATGTCACAATGGTGACATACCAAGATGGCCCGTCCTGAGTGTGTCAGCTTCATCACTTCTCTTTGTGTGTTTGGATCAGTTGGTGGTCCTTACGGTAGAGAGAAGAGGAGATGAGGCAGGAGCGATGGGGCCGTGTGGCCTCTGAGTGTGTCAGCTTCATCACTTCTCTTTGTGTGTTTAGATCAGGAATGTGAAGGTGCAGTTGGTGGTCCTTATGGTAGAGAGAAGAGGAGATGAGGCGGGAGGGATGGGGCCGTGTGGCCAGGAGCTAATCCTGTACTTAAATGTTGACCCTGCCCAGGTGGATTTACTGTGAGGCTGCTAAAGCTTACGCTTCAAGGCCCGATAATTGTGTGGACCCCTTCCAAGACCTTGGAGTTGACTTTTAAAATTATTTACTAGTATTTATTATATTGGCGTCAGATCCTGCAAATCTTGGAAACATCCTCCATCTTGGCACTTACTAACTGTGACCTGGGGTGAGGTTCTCAACCCCGCATGCTTCAGTTTTCCCATCTCAACTATGGGACTAAAAATCTCTAACGCTCGTACAGCCACTGTGAGGATCCACTCAGATTATGCAGGGACAGTGCCTGGCCCATCGTAGGAATGAATGACAGCTACTGCCATTGCATCACCAAAGGTGACAGTCACCCTGCTCTCGGGCCCTCACCCCACACCCCTGGTCAGTGTGTTCCTGAAAAATCCACGGCGTGGCAGAGAATGGGCGATTCTGAGAAGCTCCGGTGTGAAGCCCGATCCCCCGAGGAGGAAATAAACAGCCAGAGTGGATGTTCTGCTTCTGCCGATTTAATGTACAACCACCACCCTGATCCTGTACCCCCTGGGGGCCCTTCTCAGGGACAAGCGGTGCTGAGAGGCACGGCCAGAGGGAATAGGCCCACAGGCCTGTGTGCTAACACGCTGCCTATTATCGAATAACAAGTGCCAGCGCCAACGCATTGCCTGCCAGGTCTTTTCCGTCCTACCTGCCAACTCACTGCTCTGACCCTGGCTCAGTCTGGCATCCATGGGACTTAATTATCTCTTTCGCCGACGGCACCCAGGCCGTGGAACCGTTGGTGTTGAACTTTCTGCTCTGGTGAGAGTGGGGGATAGAAAGGAAACCAGAGTAACCGGGATGTTGATCCCTCAGTGTTTGCATGTAAAGCTCTCTCTCCAAAAACTCCTTCTGAATAGCAGGATGGGTTACCCTCAGACCACAGCAAACAAGCCTGAGGGCAGGGGACCCCGAGACTCAGAACCACTAATATCCCAGGCACTTGATGGATACCCAGTCCTTTAACTGCTTCTTCCTCTCTCCACCCCTTCCCGTAAAGATTTATTCTGTACCACACACAAACGCACTGGGTAAAATATGAGATGAGGAAACAAGGGGGAAGAGTTCATAAATATTCTCAGCCATATGCAAACAATCTCAAATTTATTTTTCTGTTTTTTAAGGAGGGAAAAAATATCCACCCATTCCATGATCGCTTCCAGATTCATTGAGGTTGTTATTACATAAGACCCAATATTGTTTTCTCGTCATAGAGAAATAATGACTTGGGAATGGCAATTTGAGCTAAGAAAATAGTATATTCTTACCAGGGCATGGAGGCTGAATGGGGACCCAGGAGCCAAGACTCCAGCTCGGCCTCCAACAGGCTCTTGCAAGCACAGCTCAGCCCTGGGTTGCTGGCGAGCTCTGTGCACCCGGGCGCTGACCAGCACACGGCCATGCAGACCCCTCGCTCACGTTCCCTCGAGCAGAGCAGATGGCAAAGGCGCTCCTTGAAAGACAGGTGTGGCTCTAGGGGCCCAGGGTGCTGTGCTCAGTTTCCCTGGCTTGTGAACTTGGGAGAGATAAGAACCACGGTTCCCCTCTAACGACATCCGCAGGCTGGATGGGGGTCTATTCAACGCGCCATGGAAGAGACCGCGGCTCTGGAGGCTGGTCCCAGGCCCAGCACCTTCCACCCCACTGGGTTCTTCTCCTGCTCTAGTCCTGCTCCCCAGCACCAGCAAGAAATGCACTGGCTGAACGTCTGAGGTGGCCCACCGGGATGCTTACGCCATCTAGCATTTAAATACGCAGTGAAGCTATTGAGATGCGCCTTCGTATTCATCTCCATGTCACAAAGAAACGGGTCTCAGACTTACCCGAGGCTCACGCGTGCAAGCAACTTTTCAAACCACTCCTGGCGTACAAAGCAAAGGTACCTGCCTGTTTTTAACTGTATGGTTTTCTGACAAGCTCCCACCCCTGGGTCGTGGGAAAACAACTTCAATGTAGTGTCTTCTGGATTATAACTGAGTCTGATGTAATAATCGAATGGTCCCTTCAGAGAATTCCCAGTTGCTTTTGCATAAAAATGCTGTTTCTCAGACAGTCTCCTTGTCTGCTCTTCTCCCTGAGTCCTGGGGGTGGGTGGGGAGGAGTCTCCTGTGACCTCATGGCACCCTGGAGGTATGAGTCCTGGGATTCACGGGGTAGAAGGTCTGGGAAGTTAACACAAGTCCTGCGTCTCTTCCCTGTTACGCTGAACCTCTACTTCCTTCCAGAGTAACCTTGAGGTGATGCCCCTAAAGTGTGGTCAGAGGTGGGCTGCTGGCCTCCCTCCAAAACCCTGGCAGGACACCGAGTGAAGTGCCCCATGGGGCTTCGCGGACATGTCTCTAGTCCCTTGGCGCCCTTGCCTGTCTCCTCTCCTTCATCCCCAAGCCCCCTGGCAAGAAGGGGTGGCCTTTCCTGTCCGCGTTCCTATGTCAACCACAGAGCAGCTAGCCTCCCTGTGAGCTGAGCCCTCCAGGCCCGGCTCTTAATGTGCTAAAATTAAAAACTAAAGAAAATTTCAGACAAT